AAAAAAAAAAACCAACTTTTTGTTTTTTTTCAATTTTATTGAGGAAACTAAAACTCCCCCCCCCCCCTTTTTTTTTTTTGTCTGTAGGTTAAAATGGACATTATTTTTAATTTGACAAATATGACAATGAAGCATTTTTGCAGACTGGTGATCTTTAACAAAGCAACAATTAGCAACCGCTGTACTCAGAGGAGCATTTTACCAGCTTAAAACTTAACCAAGGCCTTCCTGTGGAAATCAGGTTTCCTTCTTCATTTATCTATCCTGGTGAACAAAACATTTCTTAATTAGCCCCAAAAATATGAAGATTAATTAAACTGATCCTAAGGTGAGGAGAAAAAAAAGCTAAAGGTTGCCTGTTTTGCCTAAATCTATAACAGATAAACTGGAGACATATGTCTGTATGGTGTAACCTGCCTCTTATCCACTGACTGCTAGGATTGGCTCCAGCAGTAACAACATTAAGCTGCTACAGAAAATAGATGAAGGAAAAAAAATATGGAAAATATTGATTGCTCTCTCTTTCAAAACAAACAAAACCAGTTTCAAAGCAGTAAAATGAGCAGCATGTTACAACACAAAAAGAACAGAAAGGATCAGTTTAGCAATTTATAATTCACACTAAAACAACAAATAACAGGAATGTAGGAATAACAACTAACAATACAGGAAAGTCGGATCCAACTGACGCTTCTCGGCTGCTGAGAACATCCGACTCAGCAACTCACCAAAATAAACAGGAAAGCTACTTCTAGGCTCTGAGGAGGATTTACTGCGGCACTCGCGACATCAAGCCATATTTATCTAATATTAAACCAGCTGCAGTCATTTCATCAGACACATACTGCGTGCTATAGGGCAATTTATAATCTGATAATGGCGGACAGAGTTGGTAAAGTCCAAGATCGTAAAGAGCGAAAGGTAAATCTCCTTACCCTGAAAACAGAAAAGAAGCTAGATCCTTGATAAATATCACTCAAACGCCGTCTCTTGGCTTTTTCGTACACAACGGGCGACTTTCCTTTTGAATGCTCCATGTCTGTCTTCCCTCCACTCTTTCTGCAGGAGACCAAACAAAAACAATTTAGAAGCTTCCTAGAAGATATTACATAAGCTGTTTTTATGACGTTTTATCTTTTTGCTGTTAATCATTTTGAATTTGTCACATTTGACATTTACGATCAACAAATCATGTTATTTCGAAGAAAAACCCACTTTCTTAAGGAGCCAAACTTACCGCAGCATCCACGTTGGCTGGCGAGTCCCCGTTTGGGTCTGCCAGCATGGAGATAACGCTAATCATGATGGTTTCTACAGTGTGGATGGGCAGCCAGCGCTCCTCTGGTTTCTCGTAGCCGTACTTGTCCTCGCCCGGCTCGTGCAAAATAGAAATGCATACGTCTCCGTTCTTGTCAACTGAAATAAGAAAGAGAGAAAAAAAAACAAATTAGCTTCCATTTCCTTCTTCGTCACAGAGTTTTTATAAACCAGGTTATTCGGCCTCCTGTGAACATGCTTGGGGAAACATTTGAGCCGTGCAGCTCCAGTGTAAAGAATTTTACCGTGCAGAGTGGAAGAAAGAAACGCCTTCGAAACTACAGTTTATTTTAGTTCAAATTGTGTTAAAAAAAAAAAAAAAAGCATTTAGAGTTAATGAGCAACTCAAATAGTATTTCCTTGAAGACGGCCGGTTCAAACCGTTTTCTCATCGCTCCTGTTTTGCTCCCACTTTTCATGTCGACACATAACATGAATCCGGCTGAAGCTTTTAGTCGAGTCTGGTGAGTGAGTTTCACAATGGCCGCCTATCAGATAGACTACGGTGTGTCTGCCAGCAGGAAACAACTAATCAGTCTGCAGTAGAGACTCCATGGCCTCCATGACGCTTTTCCTCAGCATGTGTGGTCCATTTGCTTCCTTCTTGTTGCGAGTACTGCTGCCAAGCTGACTGAGACGCTTTCTTTTGCGTCGCCTCAACTGGGATCACATGTGAACAATTACATACTCAAGTTTTTAATCGGCAGTTATTGGGATCCATTTTCCTGCACGCTTTAGGGGAGTTCCTGCTCCAAGAAAGAAAAAAAAAAACAACTAAATATTTAACCTAAAGAGTATCGTAAATATCTGGATCAGACATAAAGTCAGAAAACTGATTGGAAGCATCTAAATTATTAGACTGGGACGCACTGATGCACCGATTACAGTCAGATGCAGCAGGAAATTAGCCGATAACAAAAATACATTTATTATTATTCGCCTCAAATAATATCTATCTGATCAGAATCTTGTCTTTGTCTGATTATTGAACCTCTGGAAAAACTCAGTTGAACATTCCTGGGTTTATTCAGATTATACACCATTTCTGTATAATCTTGTCCTTACTGTACAGTATATTTTCCTTAATTTTGTTTATATATATATATATTTTTTTTTTCCCCCAATACTTTTTCATGGGGGCAAAAGAAAGAGCAAACCTGTGCTATAACGAATAAATACTGCCATTTTATGCCATGCTAGCTTTGCTAACAGCGCTAATCGCTAAAATACAACGCTCATGACAGTTTAGTCAGTTTTTTTTTGTTTTATTTCGCTATAAAAATAGTCACATTTTAGAGAGACTGCTTTCTCATACGCTTAGAAATAAAATCATCTCTGCTCCTAATATTAAAAAAAAAAATAAAAAAAATCTTATTTTATAGGTTTTAAAGAGAAATCTGAACGAGCAGAGGCATGTCTGCACAGAATGTATTAAACTTTAATACTACTAAAGACGCAGATGCAAGAAGCAAATGAGAAAAAAGCTAATCTGCATGTTGTATAACGATTTGCATATGAACAAAATATTAATGACCGAAGCACCAGACACATTTCTAAGACACTTCAACTCTATTAGTATCCGTCTGGTGTCGTACAACGTCACCCACCGTTAGGATGCCAAATATCTGTGATAAATTTCATTTTAGGAGGCCTGAGGGGGTAGTCCTTGGGAAATGTCAGATGAGCTTTAAACACACCGCCTTCACTGTGGACACAAGGCAAACAGGATCAATATATTGGGATAAACACTCAGCCAGCTTTAAAACAGATCAATAGACGGCTACTGAGGGTTATTCGCGTGAAAACGAACGCTGTGACTTACTAGAGTGTGTCTGGAGGCCCGATGATGAGGACTTCCCATCTGTACAGATCATTGTCCTCGATGAGGCCTGCTGAGAATCCCTCCACTGGGTTTTTGTTCAGCTCTAGGTAACAAACAAAACAAGGATCAAATGTTATGGCTTCAGATGACAGAAAGCCCCAGAACGATTTCTGACTGCTGCCGAGGCCGGCTGGCCGTCTGTGGGCCTTATGGGGGGGGATTTCTGGTGAAAACATGCAGCGCACACTTATCAGTTAAAGGATCATCCCGCAAGTCTGTCCTGCCTTAAAACTCCTCCACCTCAACATCAGAAGTATTACTACAGAAGGATCATAAATGTTACACTTGAAAAGCTTCGTCATTTCAACATATATGCTCTTTAAAAAAAACACACAAAAAAAAAAATAATAAAAGCATCATCAAATCGAGAATCTAAATTTGAAGAGGCTGTTAGTTTTGGGAGGTGTCCACTTTTAACACATTTCATTGAAAAGTCGTACAGCACAAATGAATGACGGGTTGGGGCGGGGGGGGAGCTATCTTTAATACAAAGGTAAATGATTTAATGAAATTTAGCTACAGCTGGACAATGCTAAATGACTGAGTGGAATATTTGGTAGGATGTCATTTTTCAGCTTCAGTAAATGCCTATGACATATTTGGCCTACTTAGTGGACTTTTTCTGCCCTTTACGCCGACAGCGGAGGGATGTTTTTAGTGGCCAACATGCTAAAGCTCACGCAGAGTGGTGGGGCCAGAAAAAGAAAAAAAAAAAGTCAGTTTATCATGATCAATCTTGCAATAAATGTAGCAACAGTATCACAATTGCATGTTTTTCTGATACTCTGAAGCCCCGGATTTACCAAATCATAGGCAAAAGCGCTAAAAAAAAAAAAAAAAAAAAAAAAAAAAAAGCGAAACTTTTCAGCAGTGGTATTTGCTTTCAGATGAGCTCAGGCAGAAGATCATTATCTAATGAAAGGAGGTTTTTTTTCTAGAACGGCAAAACGAGTTCCCCTGAGCCACAGCTGCGCTGCTCACAGCTTAAAACATTAAGCTTGTTGGTCATTTCTATTGGCTGGCAGGTGTGAGCACCACATGACAACAGTCATCTTGGTTTCAGCGATACTCATCAACAGCCGTACGCTGTTGATGACATACATATGAAACAGACCTGTTTACTAAAACGAGCATGTCATAAGCCCCCCGCCCCTCCGCTCTCCGAAGGATCCAGTTAAAAAAAAAAAGGGTAAAAGTTAACAAATTCAGACAGCAAATATTTTCCAAATAAAAAAAGAGCACATTTTGTGCTCCGAGTTACCACAACAAGTCCTAAGCAACAACTAGTAAAAAAGAAAAAGGAAAAAGAAACATTAACCTCAAAGCCTGAGCCTAAACTAAAATGAAGTGGGTTGAACTTGGCTGCTTTTTGAAGGGTGCTATTATTAGAGGGGCTAAATTTAATTCACAGCAGACTCTGGTAAAATAAAGTGTTTGTAACTCTGACGTGAGCTTGCGTTCAGTATTTCAGTAAAGGGCAATTTCATTGTTTTTAATCTCGATTGCATTTGACCAGTTTTAGTTCAAAGTCTGTACTGAATTATAAAGCGATTAGATGATTAGAACAATGTTTGTGATTTGGAGGAATGTGCATTAGTAGAAGGGGGAGGGAAGACAATTTAAAGCTTTTTGGGAGATTAAAAGATTTAGACTGTTAAACTCTGAAACAAATTACTACACATTAAGGATAGATGCCTGAAAGTTTGGTTTCACAAATATATATATATATATATATATATAAAAAATAATAAATCGCTAAAAAAAAAGAACAATTTTCAGCTAAATAGCATAAGAGGGCTGGAAAAAAAAACAGAAACGTTAGGGCTAATGTGTTGCAGAAGGTCGGTGCAGATATTGCTTTATAGAAACATTCTGGAGAACCAGAATTTCCTAAATAGTTTTGGTTTATTTATCCACTTTAAGAATTATTCAGAATCCCTGCGGAGCAGCTAAAACGCTACACGTTGAGGATTTCAGCAGAATAGACGAGTAGATGGCGTCTTCAAGCAACTGCATGTCAAACATAACTGATCTGATGTGTTGCAAAGCAAAAACAGCTGTTCAGATGAACGTTGCTAAAAATAGCCGTCTGAATGGGTTTGGCACTCATAGTACATTTTTCAAAGCATCTGAAACTTAATAGTAAGGTAACTGGTTTGAAAATAAAATAATAATAATAATTTGCATCTTTGTTTTAGACTTAATTTATAAGGTTCAGCTTCGAAAACAAAGCAAAAGGTCATTGTTTGTTTTCTGTAGTGCTTAATATGTATTCAGCGACTGAAAATGGCAGGCCAGCAGAAGAAATGCTTATTATTTTTGTCATAAATGTTCCATTTTACAATCTAAATTGAGGAATGAATTACCAAAAAAAATTATATTTGTAAATTATGTAGATATCCATGTTTTTTTTAAAAGATTTTGTTTGTTTTTTGGAAAGAGTGGTTTTATTCTTTATTGAACAATTTTCGCATTTGATAGTGCAGAGATTGAAGTGAAAAAAAGTAAGCTACATTAAAGCTAATGGCCTGACAATTTAACTACATCAACAATTACAGCCCTTGCACATGTCTGTTCTACCAGCTGAGCCACTGGGCGCCCACTGTCCTGATTCTTAATCTAAATACACCATCTTGCTTTCATCTAAAATTTTGTCTGATGCTCTTTCAACTGTTCGCAAATGGGTTTTCGTTTTGCACAGAGAAAACAGCATCAGATCCCAACCCATCCAAAGACATTTGGTTTTGAAACGGAATAAAGAAACAAGTAAACATATTAAAGAATTTGACAAAAGGTTTAAACCTGACAAATAATGCAATAAAATATTAAAGAGAAGTCTATTTTTACTTAATGATTTGTTTTAGGCTCAACTCTTCTTAATGAGCCTTTCAGAATCAAAATACGAAATCATGTTTTAAAAAAAAATGCTTGCAATAATACCTCTTTAAAAGCAGTGTGCTGTCCCTTTCCTGTGCTTCCAAATCGAATACAAACTTCAGCCTCGTAAATTTAGCTTCTGTGATATTAGCATCAGCTTGTTAGCTTGGCGTCTTGCAGCTAACAACGGCTACAGCAGCTAACGTTAGCCTAGCCTAACGATACTAGTGAGGTGGCTAAATATGGTAACAATTCAAAGTGGTTAGGGAAGAAAATAGGTCCAACAAATGACATATTAATGTACTTTGTGCTATAACATATTACACCGCAGCATGTTAAGAAGATAACCGGCAAACGTCATGACTGAAAAAGCTAATCGCCACTTGATATTTCGGTTAAAATTCATGTAAACACATCGGCACGTTAGCTTTTAGCTCCCCTGACAGCTGGAAGTCGTCGGGACTGGGTGACAGCGGCGTTCAGCTGCGAACAGTTCGCAACACCGAAAAACAAATTCAAATGTTTCTCCAAACACACTGACTTTTATTTATTTATTTTTCACCTGAAATATGTCGGTCGACACCCTCCCCTTTAATCCCTGCACAGTTTTTATGTCATTGTATATCAACGTTTATGTAAAAAGGTTGAAGAAAAACAATTTGCGCCAGCACAACATCACAGCTACGTACCACAGTACCGCTGTTAGCCAGGTACCCAGCACTTCCCAACAAGGTTTAATTACCTGCGAGCTGTCTCCTGAGTAACAGCGCTGACTGAGGCTCTGTCATAGTTTAGCGGTTATGATGCAGCTCTGTTCAAGAGGGGCAGTTCGAGGTAACAGCGTTGTTTTAACGTTAACTAAACAGAACCCGTCTCTCTTATTTTCCGATTAGCATTCTCCTCGTTCTTCTTCGCCGCCTTCTGTTGCCACCTTCGATGTTTCTTCTTCGTTGGAATCCTCGGAGCAGCCCAAGCTGTGAGTGATTCTCTACTGCCATCTTCTGAACCGTTTTCACTCTCCGGCCTCAAAGTTTTTAAACGGTAAGTATATTAGGCAACAAACAATGTCACAGAAAATATTACACGCACGTGTACTTATTAACATTGACGCAGTGCGTAGTAAGGAGACTCACTGTATGAATGTCTTTAAACATTATTAAGAGGTAAGTGGGATCTACTGTGTTGTAGTTTGCTGGGGCAGCACGATGATTAAAAGATGCTATCAGGATGAAGACGCTCCTTCACAAGGCAGAAACCACAATTGTTCAGAATCTAAATGAATCTTTATTGTATATAAAGCTAAGATGGACTATGAAGTAACATTGCTTTTGCCTTTAACTTTTCTACATTTTGCCATATCACAGCCACAGACCTCACTGTCTTTCTTTGGGACTTTATGCGACAGCCCAACAGCAAACAGTGTATATTTCACAGGTGGGAGGTAAATAATATATATATTAAAACACTTTTTTTTTTTTTTTTTTTAAAAAATTAAACCTGAAAACTGTGTTTTGTTCATCCCCCTCAGAGTCAATATTTTATAGAAACACATTTGGCTCTAATTATAGATTTAATTCCTTTGGGAAAATTGATATTCCCCCATTCTTTTTCTTTTTTCTTTTTTTTTTTTTTTTTGCGTTTTAGCTCAAAATTTGGATGCATAGTATCTGAATACTTACAACTATTTGATATGGACCCCCAGATAAATTTAGCTCTGAACACGGCCTTTATCTTTTCTTGCCTGCATTGGGGGATTTTTAAGGATTACAGTGCATCTTGTTCCATTCATCTCTTCATAAACAACGATCAGCTTCTTTGTTCTGAAATAGAATCCCCATAGCATGATGCTGCCACCACAATGTTTTTTTTTTTTTTGACTAGGTAGATTATGCGATTAGAGTGCTGCATGGTGGTTTTCTGCCCCACAAAGTGTTTTTATGCAGATAAAATGCAAAATGTTGGTCTCATTTGAACACAACAAACTTCTCTGACCTGTTGGCTGTCTCCTTTGCATTGTTTCTACATGCTACTAGCATGGAGTCTTGTTACTTTCTTTTTTGCTACTCTTCTATTTTTTTAATCCATGTAAGTAATTTTGCTATCATTTAAAATTTGCTTTAATTCTCTTTCAGATGTTAGCTGATCAGTTTTGTTTTGTACAGGATCACCTAAAATCCAACAGTGGTGAGATTAATAAAGAAAAAAAAACATTACTATAGGGGTTTATAATGTCCCATTAAAGAGACACATAAATATAAACACCTGATCTCTAAGTATGGATTCAGCCTCCCTGCTGAGGAAACACGTTTTGGTTCCTTGCATTCACATTAATCACATTGACACAGCAGTAAACTGAGAACTTTGAATTTTGGCTGATGTGTTTCCACAACAAGTTTTTGAAGTAACGATTAGAAGTAGAAACCAGGTAAAGTTGAGCTGCCGCAGCCGTCAAGCTGATAGCCCGGCTCTAGATGTTTGTGCTAAACCCCAGACACAAAGACTTTACAGTAATATAGCAACTGGTTGTCCTTTGTGTCATTAGACCGCTGCTGACAGAGAAGCATAACAGTGGGAGTATCGTGGGTTTGCTCGATTGTGCCATTGCAACTTAAAATCAGTGACATCAAGTTGTGACACACATGAGGAAATTCTGAAAGGCAATTTCTTCATCTCTTCATGTTCTATGTTTAACTTTGAGCGTGTCATGAGGATGGTAAATCAGACACAGTGATCAGTCTAAATCAGGGATGTCAAACTCATTTTCGTTTTGGGCCAAATTCAGATCACGAATGCTCTTAAAGGGCCTGTTTTGCCAGAATGTATCGATTAAGCCTGTTCACAAGCGGCTTTTTGTGTTTGTGGTACTAATTTGGAAATGTTTGCGCTTATTTATGACGGTAAATGTGACTTTTTTATTTCTCTCTGTATAGATCATGGACTGTAATCTGACATCAATTGAAACTGAGGCAGCTGTTTAGTACAACTTGTAAAGTTTTTGACAATTTTTGAGAAAATCTTTAAATAAACTCCCAGTTTTTGGGGCAATTTGTTGACTTTGTGTGAATTTCCACGATAATTCTCAAGAAACTGGAGGGACTGATTGATGCAATTTGGCAGTAAACGGATAAAAACTGCTTTGATTTGATTGATAGCATAATATTTAAGCACACTTAGTGTTTAGTCTAGAATCCAGCGGGCCACATAAAAAGCTACGGCGGGCCGGATTTTACCCACGGACCTTGAGTTTGACACCTGTGATCTTAAGGGTTCATGAACTTTGTAGCTGTTTTTGCTTGAATCCTGAAGTTCTGAAACAATGAGGTTCTGGAACCAGAGCGATTTATTTAATTTACACTAACCTTTTTGTAAATTGGTCAAATCCTTAATAAACAGCTCAAATAGTTGATGTTACGCTGTTTAGTTGGTTGAATAGGTTGCTGTTCTCAGCCTATTTTTTGTTGTTATTTTTAGTCGGTTTGCGTACGTGTCACTTATATTTTTGTGGTAAATCGAGATACGATGATCAGATTGGTCTGAAAAACTACAGTTTTGCAGCTGAAACCACCAAAAAAAAAAAAAAAGCTCTTCTCATCTGCACAAGGTAATGCTCATTATAAACACTGGGTGGCGTTAGGGGACACCACAAACAGACGACCTCTTGATTGACCTCTCAACAGCAGTAAAAAGAGAAGACGCAATCACAATATTGATTACTGAGAGATTGCCAAAATACATTTGACAAACCGATCAGGTGGTGTACTCTTTATTTTATTTTATTTTATTTTTTTACACCTGCTTCTCAACTGCTCTGCTCTGAAACCAAAGGTGAAAAAAAATATATAAAAAATGATGTCAGATCACATTGACAGAAACTCTCCTGGGCAGGAAGTTGTCGCCAGGTCGCAACGTCTCGTTCCGACAGACGGTGGCTGCAGTTGCAGCTGTGGCGTTTGGAGGTGTTCAGACTTGTGGTTCTGCTGTTTTCTGACCGATTGCGTTAATGACGTAACCAGTGAAACTAGAGAAACACTCACGCTTTCATGCCACGTTTTGGGGACTTATGATGTCTTTTCAGTAAGGGTCAGACAGAAGGATTTGCATACGTTTGAGGACTTGACACAGAAGCGTCATCGGGTTAACAATTAACCAGTGGATGCAGCAAAGTGACAAGAATTCAATAGGAAAATAAAAACCACACATTCTTAAAGCCGGTCAACAAATTGGATAGAAGCCTTCAAAAATGGAAATAGAGCAGCTTTTGTTTGGGGGATTTCCCCTCTTTATGATTTACATTTCTTGCATTATTAAATCAGCCCTACGGTAATGAGCAGCTATTTTCCCGACAGCAAAGGCTAAAAAGGTACAACTGACCCACTTCTCTTCTGACGCTACAGGAACACGCAGAAGGATTCAACTCCGCTGATTAAAGTCTGAACACGCTCATTTAGTTCCTGAAAATGTTTGCTACTTTCAATCTGCTGAGGGCCTCCCGCCTGTCGTTCACTTACTCAACCTCTAAAAAGCTCTACCCAATGAACCTGACATGTTTTTTTTTTTTTTTAGTTTTTTTTTTTACAAATGTTGAAAAAAAAAAAAGAAAATGAAAAAAAAAGCTGGATAAAAATACCAAACATCACATTTAGCAACGTTGTGTCAACCCAAATGTGGAGGCATATGACCAGCCCTGAGTGGGCAGGGCCCTCTGCACTAACTTAATATATCTCGAGTGAGATAACCGTTTAGCTTCCTCAATACTCAGAGAGCCACGGAGGAGTGTGCGCGCCGTTCTCTGGCATCCAATCTTCAAGTATGAATTGAGAAGGAAATAGCTTAAAAGCAACTTCTCTGTTGAGGGAGCCTTCTGCAACTAGGTGAGCTTGTTTTCTACTTCTTCAAACAGTTTTAGCGGCTTAAGGTTTTCGCCTACAGCTGCGCCGGCATCAGTTGTTGTGGGGTTGATTAAAAGAAGCCAGGACTTTTGGGTGTAGAGGCTAAAATCTGAGCAGCAGCACTCTGCTGAGGGTGCTGTTTGGAGAAGATTCGCTGCACAATAGGCTCAGTGTTATCACTGTGTGGACTCTGTAACCTGGGCACAAAGACAGAGGGCTTTTCTGTGAGTAAAAAAAACAAACATTTTCTTTTTTTTTTTCCTTTTTTTTTATCTGTATTTCTGTTTTTAGTGAACGTACATTGAGGGATGAAGCGTTCCCTTAGCCGCTTTTAACTGTTTGTGTAGTTTGGGCTGCGAAACAGTTTACCAAACAGCTTCCTTCTGCTTTCTCCTATTTTGTTTTGACACATTTACACTCGTACACTTATGAAATTTCTTCCTTTTTTCTTGTCATTGTAAACCCTCCTGTCTTAACACATTCTCCGCTAACAAGATTACGACTGGGAAGTGGGATTTCACAAGCAGAACACGAGAGCAACAATCCTTGTCATACGTTGCTTAAATATGTGTTTTTGTTTTTTTGGGGGGGTTCTTGTTATGTGTTTTGAGCTCATTGAATGATTTAGCAAGAAGCCATCCATGCATCTGTGAGCCACATCTTGATGCTTATTGTATGCAAAAGGAGATAAGCGGCTGAGACAAGAACGAATGACAGCCATGACCCCTCTGAACTGATGGGATGATTAGGAAATGGATTTTTACTCTCTACTCATTCATTCTTTCACGCAATTAGCAATAAACGGTGCCCATGTCCCGCAAAGTTTAAAAGCCTACGGACGCATGCAGACGAGTTTGTTGCCTAGTTTAATGCGTGAAAAGATTTTTTTTCAGAGCAGTGTCATTTGCGACCAAAAAATGTAGGGGGAAAAAATCCTTTCGTTTGAGCGCCTGCTTTTAAGGGGAAAAAATCTCATCAAGAAGTAATCACTGGGAGAACGATTATTGATCGCCCGTTCACACAACCCTGCTTTTCG